CAGTTCTGGTTTCTCTATGCAGAGACCTGGAAATGCCTGGAGAGCTTCCTCCCTGGATAGACCAAGCTACCTGTGGCCCTAGTCAGAAAGAAGGTGCGCTGGATGTTGTTAAGTATTCTGCTCCACTCTCTCCACTTGAAGAAGTGAGGGCTTTGTTGCTGGGGTGTCTGCCCATGAGGCCCAGAGGGACCTGCTCCCAGATCCCAGCAGCCACCCCTGGGTCTCACTCCAGCATCAGGTGCCCCGAACTTGCTGGGCTCTCAGCCCCAATAAGGAAATAGTTCTGCATCAATCAGCGAAAACCAGCAGCAATTTTGGACGTGGGCCCTGACACTTAATATCATTATGAAGCCAGCAATGCATCCAATCCCATTATCAGCCCGGTCGTGCAGCTCCAAGCCAAACCCAGTTGCAAATGGCCTTCTCTTGTCTGAGAGGGCCAGAGTCTTCTGTGGCTGAGAGGAGAGATTTTATCTTTAATTGACAACTGGCTGCCTGCCATCTCCTAGTGGCTGGCCTGGACTGTGAGCCTGGCTTTTCTCTTTCATTTCAGGAACAGGCCTTTCCCTTAATCCTGCCCCTCAGCCCCTCCCTGACACTGTCCCCTCAGCCCCTCCCTGACATGGTCCTCTTTTCTTCTTTCCTGACATTGTCCCCTCAGTCTCTCCCTGATACTGTCCCCTCAGTCCCTCTCTGACACTGTCCCTTCAGCCCCTCCCTAGACTTTTTCCTGATACTAGCCCTTCAGTCTCTTACCTCAGTTTAGCATTGCTTACCCCTCAGCTTCTCCCACAGCCTTCTCTCTGACATTGTCCCCTTAGCTCTCCTCCTAATGCTGATGATTCCCCCTCTCCTTGACACGGTCTCTTCAGCTCCTCTCCACCACTGTTCCCTTAGCTTCCATCTGACACTGGTGCCTCAGCTTTTCCCTGATCCTCTTCCCTCAGTCCCTCTCCTGATACTGTCCAGGCTTGGTGCTCTACCTACTGGGCCATCTAGCCATAAAGGACCTCAGCCTCTTTTCTGTTATGTTAGGTCTAACCACCCCCTGAATTTCAACTTCCTACTTGTCAGTGCCCCCTGCCTATTCTCCTCTGACCCATGCTGATCAGGCCAGTTCCAATCAGCCATTGGTGTTCTTTGGTCCTTCTCTCACATGATCCAGTCCCAAGAGGTTCCAGGACTGAGTGCCATGGCCTGGTACCCACAGCATTAGTGGGTAAGTGAAGCAGGCCAGCAGAGAAGGGGTAACAGATGCCATTCTGGGCCTGAAGTCAGGAAGACCTCAGTTCCAATCCTTTGTCTAATATGTGCTAGCTGTGTGTTGGACCTTACCTGAAAACATCACTTAACTTTGCTTGGCCTCAGTTTCCCCATCTGTAAAATAGAGATAATAATAGCTCCTACCTCACAGGGTAGTTGTGAAGAGCAAAGGAAATAATAAATGTCATGTGGTTTTGCAAACCTTAAAAGTGTTCTATAAATGCTAACAATTATTATTAGCTGTTATGAATACAGTGTGTGTGTGTGTGTGTGTGTGTGTGTGTGTGTGTGTTGTGTGTTGTTCTTGGGTGCAAAGAAAACCAAGGCAAGGGGGAGGGATTAAGAGTTGGGGTATCAAACTAAAGCCAACTTTGGGTGCTCTGCGCTTCTGTTCCTGCCGTACCCTGGGCAGGGGGCTCCCTCGGTTGGCCGCTTGCTCTCCACTCCCCACCAGAGGGGATGCAACTTTCTTCCTGGCTGTTTGCGTTTTGGTTGAGAGTAGTTACTCTGCCATCTGTGTGCTCTGTCCTCGTTGTCAGCCCTACCTACGTAGGCATGGTGTGATTTCAGGGGGGCCAGGAAGGCCCCCTGCTCAAAATAGTGCCTCCCCCTCCTACTGCCTGATGCCTGTGTTTCTTTTAATAGAGGAGGGACAAAACCTTTGATTCCACAATTACAATACGGCATAGTGAGGGGGCAGTGAGGTTTCATGAAACGATATGGCTGTGCCTTCCCGGGAGCTGGGAGAACAGAGAGGGCTGGTTCCAGCCCAGCCGCTGGTGAGTGGAGTCACCTTGGGCCATTCCCATCACTCGCCTCTTGAGTCTCAGTTTCCTCATGTGTGAAATGTTGGAATGATACTGCTTCAGCTTTAGTTCACTTTGAAACAAGTTTGTTTGTTTGTTTAAAATTTGCTTGATGTTACTCAGGCTTAGGATTCTTGGGGGGATGGGGCTCACATTTATGAAAGGAAAGAAAGAGGGAAGGAGAAAAGAGAGAAGGAAGGAGGGAAGGAAGGAAAGAGAGAAGGAAGGAGGGAAGGAAGGAAAGAGAGAAAGAAGGAAGGAAGGAGAGAAGGGAGGAAGGAGAAAAAGAAAGAAAGAAGGAAAGGGGGAAAGAAGGATGGAGGAGGGAAGGAGCGAATGACAAAGAAGGAAAGGAGGAAGAAAGGAGGATAAGAGGGAACAAAGGAAGGAAAGATGGGAGGAAGGAGAGAAAGAGAAGGAAGGAAGGAAAAGGAGAAAGAAAGAAAGAAAGAAGGAGGAAGGAAGAAAGCCCTTACTGAATGCCTACTATGTACCAGGCACTGTGTTAAGTGCTTTGCAAGTATTATATCATTTAATCTTCACAATAACACTGGGAGGTAGCTGCTGTCATCATCCCCATTTTATAGTTGAATAAACTGAGGCAGACAGAGATCAAGTGACTTGCCCAAGGTCACACAGCTCGTGTCTGAGGTGAGATTAGAACTGAGGTCTTCCTGACTCCTAAGTCCCACATTCTATTCACGGCACCTTCCAGCTTTCTCTCTATGGAAAGAGACAAATTTCACTGTCACTTAGCCTCTCCAAGTCTTTCAGTCTCTCATCTGAAAAATGGGGACAATCCCACTTGTATTACTTGCTTAATAGGATTATTGAGAGGAAAATGATTTCCAAGCTTTAAAGCATTCTATATGTGAACTCCTCTCCCCCCACCTCGCCCTGAGGCTGTAGGACAAGAGTTGAAAGGCAGAGGAGGAAGAAATGTTAGAGCTCATACATGTAGAGCCAGAAGGACCCTCAGGGGTCATCTAGTCCAATTTACTCCTTTTTTTTTGTTTGCTTTTTGGTGAGGCAATTGGGATTAAATGACTTGCCCAGGATCACACAGTTAGTAAGTGCCAAGTGTCTGAAGCTGGATTTGAACTCAGTTCTTCCTGACTCTAAGGTTAGACCTCTATCCACTGCACCACCTAGCTACTCCTTTTATAGTAGAGGAAGCTCAGAGAGAAAGGTAATAAACATCAGAAGCAGAATTTGAACCCAGATCCTCTGACTTTGGATCCAGAACTCTTTCTCCTGTCCCATACTGCCTCCCTATATGATGCTGCTATATATAAATGTGTGAGGGAAAAGTTGACTTAATGGAGTTGTTCCTTCCAGTTTTAAAATTCAATTCAATTTAACAAACATCCATTCTGCACCTATAGGCTCATACTGAAATGGACCTCTAATCTCATCAACTTGGATGGTCCCTTGAACCATGCAGATAGCCACCCATTCATGTCGGCCTCTAAAAAGATCATAGAAGACTGACTTATGGCCACACCAGGGTATATGAGAGAGAAGAGTTCTAGAGGGCAGTTCTGAGGAGGAGAATACCTGGTTGAAGAGGAAATATCATGAGATAGAGAGGGGAGGTTGGGACCCCTAAGACAAACTCTGTCATAGGATTATCGACCTATAAAATGGCTCAGAAGATGTCCAGTCCAGTTTAATAGGTGAGGAAACTGAGTCCCAAGATTAGGTTGCCTAAGGTCATGCATATCATAGGTAGGATTTGAAACCAGTCCTTGGACTCCAGTTAATATCCTTTCCTCCTTTGTGATTGTCTGAGCCTAACTTTCTTTGTGTATGTCAACCTTTAGACTGTAAACTCCCAGAGGGGAGGCCCTGGGTCCCAGCCCAGTTGTATGTGTGCCAAGTGTATGAGTAAAGGCATCCCCCAGGTTCTGCAGAAAAGAAAGGGAGAGGCCCATTCACACAGCAAGGGCATCGAGACAGCTCCAAATCTCTTTATTGGGGCTTGACCACAGTAGAACAGCCAGAGGCATGCGGACAGACCAGCAGCTCCTGGCCAGAGTATTGCCTTGGACACAGAGAGAGGTAACAGTTTTAAAAAAGTACCAACAGACACTGGGGAAGATTGGTTAGGGGAGAGGGGAAGGGTTGCTGGGGTGAGGGGCAGAGGCCAAGGCAGAAGGGGCAGCCCTGACTCTGCTATTGCACGCGTTCCCCTGGCCCAAAGTCAGGAAGTAGAGTATTGCAACTCAATCTCATTTCATCCCGAGGCTTCCACGGGTCCTCGGACCCCTGAGCCAGCCAGACAGACAGACACCCCTCCCCCTGAGTCCGCCTGGCAGCATCTTTGAAAACAAATAGGGAGAGAGACAACACACAGAAATACAATAACAAAATGACCCCTGTCTATGGCGTAGATGGGTCAGGAGAGGGATACGGACAGGGGATCCTTCACCTTATTCCCCTGGCCACAAGCCATAGGGGTAGGGCTAATGGGTTCTGTTTGAAGGGGATCCTGGGGTGCCATCTGAATTTCTGTCAGGCTCTGCCTGCCCCTGATCCATGTGGGTCAGGGATAGGAGAACAGGGGGACACAAAATGAATGGCTAAAGCCAAGCCAAGCCTGATGTGGAAGCAGGAGTCACACCAGACAAGCAGGCAGTTTACAGTTGGAATTCTACTGGTAGGTTCTGGACACTTCAGAAAAATTAATGTGGAACTGGGAGCAAGAAAGGAGATGGGACCCTAGTATTTGGGGTTGTGGGGAAGAGGAGGGGTAGCAGGGGCTGACACAAAAGACAGACCACCAAGCAACACATGCACTACAACAAGGATACAGCATGTAAGAATATAGAATATATATGTATATATATATATATATGCATATAGATCTTTTAATATACAACAGAATAAACCATCAGACCCATCCTGGGCCATAAGATGTGTATGTGTGTGTGCGTGCGTGTTTTTTTCCAACAGTCCTGCACAAACAAGGATTTCCAAGTCTTTCCGAGTGAAAGATCCTTGCCTGGTTTCCAGGGTTTTCCTTAAGCCTCTCGCACTGTCTCTCTCCATGCTCCCGGCCTCCACGTGAGCCAAACTTTAAGAGAAGGTGAGGACCTCGGCCTGGGCATAATTGGACGAGAGGACGTCTTGGCAGGTCTCTGTGTTTAAAGAGCACAGGTGTGAGTCACCGGTACGCACGCTTTCCCATCGACATTGCCTTCTTTGGGGATAGGATGAAGGGCAAGAACAAATTAGAGGGGAGAAACCCACAACCCACAGGCAACGGGGCCAGTGGAGAGCACCCAGGAATCCAGTTGTATGTAATCGACAAATGGCCTTCTGCATGTGGGCTGAAGGACTTGGGAGGAGCTGGTAGCAATTAACTATTGACAACACCATCCCCTTCCTCCTCTCCTTATTCCCTCTTCTTTTTTCACACCCACACATTTCCCATGGCTGACCCTGCTCAGGGCCACTTGGCCTACATACAAGGGGCTGGGAATATAAGGATGAAATTCAACACATCTCTGCCCTCTACTTACTAAGGGAGAATCTGATGTGTATGCAGATAAGTACAAGATACAGTAGAGCATGATAGGAAGGACAGTTTGTGGAGGGAGAGAATGGTCCCTTGGTCCTCCTAACCACAGACAGCCCCTATAGGAGATGAGGGCACAGCTTGGCAGACTTAATCATAGGGGCCATTGGGATGGCCTTTGAGCTATCACAGGCTTCCTACCAACCTCAGTGGAGCCACCCTACAGTGTGCCCTGATCCTGTACACAGCCTGCTACGTCCTACCAGCCTGGTCTCCCACCCTAGCTAGTGCAGAAGGGAAACGCGTGCAAGTTATTTATTTCCCACAAGAGACAGGGAACTAAAAAAAAAAACAAAACCAACAATTCATGTCCTGCTACTTTCCCTGTCAGTGCATGGAGGGCCAAAGCTGATGAGGAACTAGACAGATATCCTGTGAGTTGGAGAAGGCCTTGGGTAGTCCCATCCATACCTCATTACAGCTTTGAGGAACCTTCCTGCAATTCTTCATCTCCCACTAATGTCTTAGGAACTGTGTGAATCCTGAAGACCAAATGAGGATCCAAGATGGCATCTTGGAGATTTCCTCCCCCTGCTGTCAATCAATGGGCAGGCACTCACCTTTTCCTGTATCTATCTACAGAGGTCCTATATGAAGTTGGGTAGTAAGCCAAAGATTTACAAAGTTCTTTCCTCAGAACAGCGCTATGAGGTAGGCAGTGTGGATATATTATCCCCCTTTCACAGAGGAGGAAACAGGCTCTGGGAGCTTGAGGGATTTTCCCATAACCATACAGCGATGCTGTGCTAGAGGTTTAAACCCAGGTTTCTTCTAACTCCACATCTGATGCTCTTTCCACTAGGAATGCTATTTCTCCAAATATATGTCTCCCCATATGGGACCCCATGCCTACTGTTCCTATCCTAGGATCAAAGCCTCCTTCAGGTCACCAGACACCCAGGTCCCTTCTCCTGGTTCCAGGCACCAGGGAGACAGTGTGGGTCAGAGGAAAGAATAAAAAACCTGAAGTCATCCCAGACCTGTCATTTCCTACCTGGGTAGGACTTGAGTAAGTAATAAGCTGTCTGGGGGTCGCACTGGTGGGGGGGCTGGCTTCCGAGGTCCCTTCCAGCTCCAGATCCATGATCTTCATGGGATCATAGCTCCAGAAGGGATCTCTGATCCCTTCATTTTATAAATGAGGCACAGGGCATTTGCCCAAGTGATTTGCCCAAAGTCACACAGGTAAAGAAGGACCAGAAGTGGAATTTGCACCAATATTCTCTAACTACATCATAAATATTCTTTCCGCTGTATGATGGATAGACAACAAATCCCAGTTTAGTCCAAAGCAGATTCCTCCTCCTCTCAGGCAGAAAGGGGATAGAGGAAGGCCTTCCTCCCTGCTCCCAACTCTGCCTCCAAAATCTGTCATACCATCTTATCCCTTCTCTCCTCATCTACCACAGCCCAATGCCATGGGGAAACCACCTGGGGCCAGGTGTCACATTTTAGGAGGGGATAAATGAAGGGACTCCCGTTGATCTGAAAGGTTACCCACATTCTCCCAATCTCAAACGCCCCCAAGGAAGGGCTGTGTGAAAGATAAAAGGAAGCAGCTGAGCTAGGTTAGAGGGAGGGAGGAAGGGACCTAGGGAAAGAAGACAGTAAGATCTGGAAGAAAGGATCCAGGCTGGAATCCTGGTTTCGTTACTACCAGGGTGACTTTAAATAAGGCATCTAACCTCTCTGAGCCCCAGGCTCTTCATTCGTAAAATGAGGGGAGTTGGACCAGCTGGCTTTGGGGTCCCTTCTACATTTATAATCCTACGAAGCCCCTCTGGGCCTCATCTGTAAAATGTGGGAGTTGGACCAGAGGGTCTCTTCCAGCCATAGATCCTATGGTCTAGTGCCCCCACTTTTGGGAAATGATTCCCTGCCCTTATCTCCATGATTCTTCCCCTGGGCTATCTGATAGAGTAGAAGGGTACTTATAGAGCCTCTTAACACAGGGAATCCCCATTCTGGTAGCTTTGCCTGACTAGTCCACTTGCCAGAAATGAGAGATGAGCTAAGTGGATAGAAGCAGAGGGAGAACTGGGCCCTACCTGGAAGCATTGTTCCTTGTCCTTCTTGGACACAACGAAAGTCAACAATGCAATGTTGGCATACTGGCGTTGGTCCTGGTGCCCTAATCAGCCTTCCTCTGTCTCCTGGATCACTGGTCTACATGATGCCTCTAGAAAGAATTCCTGACCAGTGGCATGGCCAACCCTTGGATCCATACCGCTTTCCACTCTGGCTTCAACAACGCACCAGAGGGAGATAGCTTTTAAAGCTGTGGGGTTCTGACCCTAAGACTGCCTCTCTCAACAAGATAGAGGGCCCCAAAAGGTCCCCTTTCCCCTATGCTAACCCTAATACTTTGGTCCCAAATGCAAAACTCATCCTGAGACTTCCACCTATCCTCATATCAGGACTGGAGAGCGTCCTATCAAATCCTTAAATTGGAGAAAATGAGTCCTCTACCCAAGACAGACCAGAAGCCTAATGGCCAGCCGCAGATGGGTAGGCAGCTGGGTGAGGAACCAAGATAAGCAAATCCTCAAGCTGAAGAAACTGAGTCCTGAATCCAAGAAAAGCTGAAAGGCTAATGGCCAACTTGGGTGGGTGGGTGGGACCAAGCCCAACAGCCCCTCCTCCACGTCCCAAACCCTCGTGATCCTAACACCTTAACAGACAGTAGGCAATGTCCTTTCCAGACTGATCCACACAGGAGATGCACCCTGTAGGCTCTGCATACAGTCAGCACTCAATAAGTGCTTGGAAGTTAATTTGGTCCCTTCCCCCACCACTAATGCCCCAACAATATTTTCCTAAAGCTAGATTTCAATTTAATAAACATTTATTAAGTGCCTGCTATGCCTAGGGCATTGTGCACTGGTAGAGACACAAAGTTTGGGTCCTTGCCCTCATGGAACTTACTATCTAATAGAAGAAATACAACACTTATCATTGCATGATATACAACATATAAACAAATTAGAGATCCAAACAAAGTGCCTCACATTATCTGAAGAGGGAAAGGTTATTTTTTTCTGATGAGGGACTGCTTCACAGAGGTAGTGTTACAGTAGGGCTTTCAGGACTGGGTATTAAGGGGAGGCTGGTATTTCTATAGAAGTAGAGACAGTGGGCACAACCAGCCATAATGAAGCCTCTTACCTTAGTGTGGGCCTGTCTCTGTTCCCCCCCATGAGAGCCCTTACAGATCCTGGGGGTTGGCAGGGGGAGGAGGTACAGAGACCTCAAGTAGTTACCTGTCTATGAGTTAGGTGGCATTATCAAAGCACCAGGAGGAAAAGTTTGAGAGCCAGCCTCAGCTCTGCACCAGCCCAGATCAGGCTGCCTAGGGCCAGTTGGACCCATGACAAGGGCAGCTTGCTCAAGGGTGGTGCCTCTACAGGGGCAGAGGAGGTGGAGGGGAGAGTACTGTGGAAACTTGGGTTCCTGACAGCTCCTGAGGTTGCCACAGAAATAGCCAACTCAATTCTCTGAAACAGTCGGAGGAGAAAATAGCTATGCTTGGATGGGGCTTACAGTGTGCTCTTAGCTCATGTTATCCCAGGCCAGGGCCAAATTAGCCCCCTGGCGCCCTTGGCTTTCCCACCTCCCTCCCAGGAGACTCTCTCCAAACTCTAAGGCTGCCTGACTTGCTACTCTGGTACCTCATTGGTTTTTCTTATTCCTTAGGGCATTCCTTCCTATCTCTGGAGGACTCATGGATGGGCACACTCTTAAGCACTATGTTAATCTTAAAGTGCAGTGTAAATGATGGGTATCATTATTATTATGATGATTATTACTTCTGAGGACCTCACTGGGAGAAGTATTCTTCAAATGCCTCCCCTTCAAATGCCTACAGGGAGCATCACACTCTGGGCAGGGCAGGGTGGGGCACAGGCACCAGTATTCCCAGAGAACCCAGCCTAGGATGTGCCAGCAGCTAGCACAAGGCTTATCTCAAAGGGAACCTTAAGACTTAGGAAGTATCTAAAACAGGACAGAGGCCTCACTCCTCCCAAGAAGGCAAGCTCCCCCCTTCACCCCCTCCCCAATTTCTATCTTCCAAAGCTTCCCAATTGTTACTGCTGCTCCACTCCCAGAACCTGCTTCATTGCAGTCCGCCAGCTCTGGAAGGAGCAGAGACGGACGGTTAGTCATTCCCACTAAGTTGCATAATGCCAATTCTAAAAATTGCCAAGCACATAGCTCCACTGTCAGATCTAATCCCTGTCAGGTAGATCATGAAGTGTCTCTACCGAGAAGTTTCTCGGGTCTTTCAGAAGACCCAGGCACTAGCCAAGCTCAGGAGTACCGAGGGTCGGGAGGACCCCAGTGGGAAACCTGGCTCAGCTGGAAAGATTTCCGTGTTCCCCATGATAGGGACACTACCACAGAGGCCCGGCCTGGAAAGAATATCCCTGTCCTTGGCTAAGTGGCAGGTTGGGACCAGGTGGGAAATCAATTCTCTCCTGTCTCCTTCAGCTGCGACCAAGGCACACACATGCTTACTCAGTGACTCACAAACCTGTTGTGCTCCCAGATCAGGATCGTTAG